TTTTTAAGTGGGAGAACTTGCACAGTTGGTGGCTGACTAGATACTTTTTTGCCCCACTGTAAGGCAGCCAGCACCTTGGAATGTGCCCGGAAGCCAGCTGGGAATCCCACAGCTGACAATGTAAGGGTGTTACACGGGCATTGACATCACAGCTGAGGCCACCGCCCTGCCCTGCCCTGCCCTGCCCTGCCCTGCCCTGGGCAGTCCCAGGGAGGCAGGAGGGATTCTAAGAAGGGCCTCCCAGTCCAGGAAAGGCTGCAAGCTGAATCTGCACCAAGACTCTCCTGGCCCAGCTGCCACCTGCCCTCCAGGTAGGACTGGGAGTCGAGGATGAGCCCAGATTGCCCACCAGTCTTGAGGGGGGTCATTCCACCCCACCCAAGATGAAAGGCGGAAAGACCTCGACGGTGGCTAAGTATCCAGCCTTGCTAAGATTGTGCCCGTTCCTCCTCATCCAGATCTGCACAGACCCCGGGACAGGACCCCAGCAGCATTGCTTGACCAGAGACAACCAAGAACCCTCCCGTATGGGTGGTGCCAGACTCAGGCGACAACCACCCAGCTGCCCAGTGTGGGCACAGCTTCCCAAGGGGGATGTTTCTCCCTGTCCCAAGAAAAAGTAAGTCTGCAAAGGCACCCCTTTCCCGACTGACTCAGCTGCCACTGAGCACTGGGCAGCAGCCAGGCCAGGAGCAGGACCCACCCAGGAGCACATCTGGCCTGCAAAGGGATCTGGCCCTGCCTCCTCCACGGAAGCCCCCCCACCTGGTGCTCCGGTGGGAGTCAGTCCCTTGGCAGCATGGCCGCCTCGCTTCTGGTGCCCGCGCCACCTACCTTCCGCTGTCCCGCCCAACGCCCCAGACCCGGATGGCCGCGATGGGCAGGCAGTGCAGCACCCTCTGCTCCTCTGGGTCCAGCAGCTTCAGCATCTCGTTTTCCAGGACCAGGAGCATTGCTTTGCCCTGCGGGGAGGGGGGACAGCTGCCACTTGGGCCCCTTCCCCTCCCTCAGGCCTCCAGAGGCATCCCTCCAGAGGCAGGGGCTGGACCAGAGCCACGAGCAGCCTGCCCCGCCGCCCACTGCAGGGAGCAGGCCCGCCTGCCCTCCCCCAGCCGCTCACCTCCATCCAGGAGCCCCGAAGGGCCGGCTCCTGCCCAGCCAGCTGCCGGATGCAGTTGTTGACAGCCAGGCCGCTCTTCCCCAGCGCCAGCTCCTCCTCTGACATCTCCACCCAGCCCAGCGAGTGGACGCAGAAGCGCTGCGGGAAGCAGCGACACGTCGCGTGTCCGTGGATGTGGGGCTGAAGCATTCCCCGAAGGGAAAATCTCCCTCCCTCCCTCCCTGGCAGAAGCGGCTGCAGAGGAAACCCGGGGGCAGCCTCAGGCAATGCCTTAGAAGCGGGGGGCTGAGGGCCCCAGCCAACCGCCCACTCTCTGCATCCTCTCCTCAGGCCCCCACCGCGGGCTTCGCCC